TTATTTCTGTTTTCTCAGCGCCTCGGCCCATACTTCCGCACCGTACAGCATCACTGCTTCGGCGACACGCATCAGTAGTCTCCTCATGTACGGCCGGGGACCGTTAACATTGTCTATGAAACTGCCCAGTGAGGCTACTACTTTAGCCGCCTTGTCAACTGCCCTGATAATATGCTCACCATAGTTAAGCTTGTTGTCAAGCATTACGCCGAGATATTTGACAGCCGGCTTAGTCTGGACCGCCGCATCTCCTACAATGAAGCTGCGCAAGTTGTTGATACGCTTCCTCCTAATTAGCACGATCTCAGTCTTCTGGGCTGCTAGAGATAGCCCGTGGTCTTCCATCCATGAGGTAACTCTCCTCATGACCTGGTTGAGCAGCAACTGTACCCCCTTCGTGGCTCTTGCGGTTATGACAACTGCAAGGTCATCTTCATATCCAACCAAGAAAGTACCGTCTGGGACTGCCATACGAAAAATACCGTCGTAGAATATATTCCTTATGTCCGGTCCTAGTATAGAGCCCTGGGCTGCCCCCGATGTCAATTCCAAGCTTCTTGGACCGTCACTCGTGTCGTATACTAGGAAGCGCTCGTTTAGATAATCGTCAACTATTCGGAGTAGGTACATCGGAACGTTGAAATTACGTTCGAGCGCTTCCCTTGCCAGGTCCCACCTGACGGAGTTGAAGGCACTTCTCATGTCTAAGGTGGCCAGCAGGCACAGAGGTCGAGTTCGACGATTGCCTCGCTCCATCATTTTCGCGACTGTGACTACCTCCAGGACTGCGTGGATGGTGGAGAGGCCGGATCGAAATCCGTACTGGCGGCCGGGATGATCCCCGCTGCCTTCACGGCTGGACGCAGCCTTGGTCTTATCAGCTTCTCCAGGAGTTTTCCAGCCGTGTCGAGCAAACAAATAGGCCTGTATAATGGAGCTGCCCCTACTGGACCCTTGCCCTTGATAATGAGCACAAGCCTCGCTTTCTTCCATGGAGCGAGAAAGATGCCCCCCTGAGGCACGTGTTATACATGTTCAGCAATAGCTCAGGGAGACTTTGTACGACGACTTTAATTATTTCTGCTGGGAGTCCGTCTGGACCTGGAGCTTTCCTGTTCCGCATAGATGATGCGGCCATGAGTAGCTCTTCTTCCGTGAATTGCGGTACCTCGCTTAATCCAGGCGCATCCAAGCTGATCTCTCTCTTCGGCTGTGGGGGGAATAGAGTATGCACGATGTGATCCAACGTCCTCGCGTCCTGAGGGGTCCCTTGCGTGTTAGTCCTCAGCTTGCGAGTGACGATGACATACCCTAATCCCCACGGATTCTGGTCGACATCCAGGCTGCTCCTTCCTGCACCGTCGTTGACTGGCCTTGATGGTCCTCTTCAGGGCTTTCTTGGCCGCTTGATAGTCTGCGGCCAAAGGAGCAGCGTCGTGGTCGCGTCTCTTCGCTCGTTGTGCTAAACGGCGTAGCCTTAAGCACTTCTTACGTAGATCTGCGATCTCGTTCGTCCACAAATATACAGGGCGTCTCTGCCGTCTCGTGCCATTCTTTGGCACCGCTATCGCACAAGCCTTTTGGATGAGTTGCATGGTTGCTGCGCTAATCAACCTGGCTTGTGCAGGTGGCGATAGAATTGCTTAAGTACTTTGTTGGGATCTCCATCCTTCCTTTATGACCGAAGACAGCTTCTCTCGATCCATTATTGCAATGTTCCACCGGGGGGGTCGCTTTACACTTGTCACGGCTGGTCTCCTATCATGTACATCGAATAGGATTTACTGATGATCGCTCCCGGTATAATCCTCGATCACCTGCCAGCCTGCGACTCTTGCCACAAGGTGTTCGTTGAATAGTGAGACATCCGGGATTGTCTCTCTGTAGGCAGGCCTGTAGAAGGTTGAAGTCGAACCTGTGTTGAGTACAGATAGCTCCAGTCTCTACGCCATCTCCATGATTCGTCTTCCTCTGGAGTCCGGCCTGGTCTCCCCCCATTCGAGAGCTTTGGCATTGAGGTCTCCAGCCACAATGAGATCCCCTTGCATATCCCGCAGCGCGTCTTCCAGATCGTTCAGTTTGATTTGGATGTCGTCTATCCGGTCGTTCTGAGTGAGATATACACTGACATAAGTCGTCGAGTTATGTCTCACCCAAACGTAAACGCGTCCGGATCCTTGGTCCGACACATGTATTAGTCGGGGATCTGGGATCCAGATGGCCGCGTTGCCCAATTCGTCTGCGAACCATCCTACTACTGCTCTGTCCTGGTACTGTTCGCTAATTAGCACAATATCAGCACTTTCCTCAAAGCAAAGCTGGGCTAGAAGGTGATGCGCCGTCCTGCTCCTATTCAGGTTACCCTGAAGTACTCTCATTCTTTTTTTTTCCCCCTACTTCTTTGCTGTTGCGAGGGCCTCCTGGAAAGCTTTGCAGGCCTTTGATCCCGCCAGGTGCTTCCTGGTTTCAACACCGCTTTTTGAGCACAAGAAGCTAGTAG